GTGAAAATGTGGAAATGACTCGGTCCTCAAAGGGAGTTGTCAATCCGTACAAAAGAGTCTCGGAAACCATTTCCAAGCACTCGAGATGACACTAAGTGACGAGAAACAGAGCTCAGAAAGGAAAATTAAGCGGAAAAAATTTATCCGTAAAATTTCAAGAAAGAAGAAAGGGAGGAAAATGACCAGGTCATTACAGTCCTCCAATTCATTCCATAAATGATTTTCTTTATAATTATAATCCTTTCCTTTTAACAATTCTTTCCATGCAGAGTTTTCCTTGTACAGAACTTATTCTTTTATGTGATTCCTTGGCCTAGCAGGACTAGACTTCCCTTAACCAAGATTGGGCTGAATGTGGACTGACCCAGATGATTCAGCCAATGGGCTTGGAGTTCACCCTTGGTGTTACGGGCTGTCGACGTCTGGGCTTAGAAGTTGGGCCGAGTGGCCTGGGTCTACGATCCATGTGGGAACCAAGGCCTTGTCTGGGCTTGCTCTGGACTGGGCTGATCCAATTTGGGCTTAGCACCGATTGGGTCCTTGTGGTATCTAGAATAATTTTCTAGTGTGATGACGTGGACGATTCTTACTGGAAGGGGGATTTTTTCCCTCCACAGTGATGGTACTCTTCAACCTAAGAACCTCTTTACAGGTCCTGTAAGCAAACACCCATGGCCAAGATGCCTCAAAAGTGTGGTTCCTTCTCTTATTGACAAGCCTACAAGTTATACTGAAGCATCCAAATCACCTCATTGGTGAGCTGCAATGCTTGATGAATTTAATGCCCTTCTTCGTCAACAAACTTGGTCGCTTGTTCTAACTTTTCAAGCCCAGAATGTCATCGGATGCAAATGAGCTATAAGATCAAACGACACGTTGATGGCTCTATAGAACAACATAAGGCCATACTTGTTGCAAAAGGTTACCATCAACAATATGGGCTGGATTTTGATGAAACATTTAACCCGGTTGGTAAACCCCCATTCTTCATGAAACTGTTTATATGAAGTAACCACCAGGTTTTATCAACAAGGATTTTCCTAATCATGTTTGTCATCTTCACAAATCCATTTATGGGTTGCGACAAGCACCGAGAACATGGTTTGATGGCTTTAGTGCTGCACTATTTGAGCTCGGATTTGTTCAAAGCAAAACTGATGTGTATATGTTTCTCCACTATGCTGACCATGATGTCACTATTCTCCTTGTCTAAGTAGACGATATCCTCATCACTAGTTCTAACAATGCTTTCATCTCAACAGTCCTTACCAAACTGCACGAGAACTTTGAAATTAAAGACCTTGGGTCATTACACTACTTCCTGGGGATTGAAGTTTACCGTGATTCTCGTGGTATCCAAATGAGTCAAACAAAATATTCTCTCAGCCTTCTAAAGAAAGCTAATTTCCTTCTAGCTAAACCATGTTTATCCCTCGTTGTTGCCGGTTCTAAATTATCCTTATATGATGCTGGTGACCTTGTTAATTCCACATCTTGTCGTAGTCTCATTGGTGCACTATAATACCTCACCATCACATGCCCAGATCTTACATATGTTGTGAATAAGGTTTGCAAATTCATGCATCAGCCACAGGAAACTCACTTCATTGCCATTAAAAGGATTCTTCAGTACATCAAGAACACTCCTCATTTTGGCATACATCTTATTAAATCTCGTGATGAACTTTTTAGGGGATTTTCTGACACTGATTGGGTTGGTTCTCCAGATAATCGACATTCTACTACTGGCTTGTGTGTTTACTTTGGTCTTAACCTCAACACCTAGGCTACTAAGAAGCAAACTACTGTTTCTATATCAAGTGTTGAATCAGAATATAGGGCATTAGCACACATAGCAGCTGATATGCAGTTACTTACATACCTTCTTCGAGAGTTGAAAATCCTATTACACCATCCTCCAATCCTTCACTCTGACAATATTAATGCTACATACATAGCCTCCAACCTAGTTCTCTATGCCAGAACCAAACATATTGAGATTGACTATCACTTCTTACGAGAATGTGTTTTACGTGGCTCTCTAAAAATCGTGTTTGTTCCATGTGCTGACCAGAAAACAAATTTCTTCACCAAAGCTCTATCGGTACCCGAGTTTCAACTACTAAGAGACAAGTTGCTGGTTAGTCCTTGCTCCACCATCATATTGAAGGGGGGTGTTAAGAGATTAACTAATGATATATTGGATAAACCAAAAAAATCAGGTCAAAGGGAAATCCAGATAGGTTTGTTGAGATAAGTTTGTTAATCCAGATAGGTTTATTGAGATAAGTTTGTTGAGAGAATCTCTCCATCTCTCTCTTATTGTTGTAACAACAAACAGATAAGTTTGTTGAGAGAATCTCTCCATCTCTCTCTTATTGTTTTAACTATAAATACACAATAGGACACCATCATTTCATTTTGGTGAAAATTTCCCAAATTGTCATTTTCTTCTCTCATCTATTCTCAGTTTTTCACTCTTTAACATTGATGCTACCCAACACTTCTTCCGTTTTTAAAAACAGTAATATTGGCCTTTGAATTGATTATTTGGATTTTGGTCTGTTCTACATACATACATATGTACCTATATATACAAATATATGGTCACCATCAATAACTATTCTTCAAGTCCTTTCAATTAACCTATGTGGAACTATGGATCATCATGATTTCTGAAATGTTATATACTTGAGGAAAAGGATGGACCCATAAGATTTTGAAGATGATTTGCACAAGTAACAGACCTTTGAATTGATTATTTGAATATTTTCCAAGTCCTTTCAATAAACCTATGTGGAATGATGGATCAGCATGCCTTCTGAAATGTCCTATCCTTATGGGAAAGGATGGACCCCTATAGATTTTGAAGATGACTTCTTATAATTATCATCTTGATCATTTGGCCTCTATATAAATCAGTTTCAGGCAATCTTATCACTCAGAAAACCAGCAAAAATAGTCCATCATTCCACTGCTTTTGTATCATGTACCAAGCTATCCGAAGTCCAAAAACTCTTATGTCCAGTAAAAGCCATTAATCAGATTGTCAATACTTCAGCACTTGAGAGTCGTCATCATCATCCTTGCCTTAATCCCGTGTGAATGGGGTCGGCCACATGAATTCTCTCTCAACACTCTACACACCATTTCTTCTACCGCGTTTAACTTTTTAATAACCTCATCCCATGTTACAACTAAATTTCCCTGCTTAACCGGCGCGCCTCTAGGTCTCTGATATTTTTATTCAAAGCATCTAAGTCTACTCTCTCTAATTTTCTCACTAATGGGTGCTACACCTAATTTTTTTCTCACACTTTCATTCTTCAACACTTAAAGAGTAGTTTTCTAATTAATTACTAACTTTATAGATCCTTTGTCATCCAAAGGTAGTAAGCAACTAAAAGAAGACATCTATAAACGATTCCAGATTCAACAGAAACCAGCACACAATGCATAAAATTTAGCAGAATAAGGTATCTAAATATAATGAACTTTTAACAAAATAGGAAAAGGAATGGCATTAAGCTACCAAACATATTTGAATTGACAAGTCTATGGAAGATAAATTTTGTTTCTTCATCTGAATGAAGATGATAATTTAGTCATGCTATGTAAGATCTGGAAAAAGGAATAAAGAATATATCAGATGAATAAAATACAAGCACTTTGCGAATCATATTACAAATCCTTTGGAGAAACTGTTTTAGGAAAAGTAAAAAATATGTGGAAACTGAATACAAGTCTGTAGAGCATGGTTGTCTAAGACATATAATGTACATGGCATAACTGATTATATGATAACCGAATAAACAAGATGGGAAATACAGTAATTACCTGAAAATAATATGAATGATAATAAAAATTTTAATTATAATTATTATAGACAGATTAAATAGCAGCAACTAGGAAGCACTTTACGAAAATTTTGTTGGTTTGTCAACAACAAAGTTTTAGCTGATGCAACTGGAGCAGGTTTAGATTTAGAATTTATGGAGGAACAGAAAAGCTTCTATTATAAACATACCTAAAATAACATTGAAAGCATATTAGCCAAACTATGAAGAGAACCAAACTAGGTAATGGAAATTATGATGACTTGCAGATACCCAAGAATGACTTTAGTTACCAAGTTAAAGTTGGACTGAGCAACCGTAAACAGGGGAAGCCTAAGATGTTTTTGCCTGCATAATTACTTTGGATGGGTAAAGGGAGTAAGTGCTTCTGCAATACTGTTTCGATTGATAAACCAATCCAAGTAGTGGGAAAATTTTATGGGGTGGCAATTTAGTACACAAGGTGAGAAAAACTCATCTAAGATGGTCTAGAAATGTTCAATAAAGACAGAAAGCTAAATCATTGGGACGACTAATAAAGTACAACTTCAAAGCACTACAGTGACAAGAAAAGAGAGCCTAAACAATGTGGTTCGAGAAATGAGAAGCAGATATGATAGCATATAACAGAAGATATAGGCTTGAATAAAGCAGAATACAGGAATAGGATTCGTTTCAACTTCAAAGGCATTCCATCCTCAAACGACATATTCACCAACTAAAGGAACATCCAATTTTGAACTCCTCCACCTCTCCACCACATGCATAAAATTCAGACTTAGCAATAAAAAAACTCTTGAAACAAATGTGAACTTCAGCCCCATCATGGTATTTTTAGCAACAACTAAAATATGATACAACATATATATAATTCAATTACATAAAAGTATTCTCTTACCTAGAAATAGGAGTGACGTCAGTCCGGTGGCTTTTGTCATGGTAGTAAAAGGGACCTTTCTGCAACCTGTTCCAAAGCCATGATTTGTTGTCTGTTGACAGTATTTGATTTCGAAAATCAAGTTAACTACTAAATGTGATCCATTGATTCACTACCCACAATGAAAACTGAATGCTGAAACCAAAATAAATAAATAAACCAAAGTGCTAGCTGAATGATATATGTCAATCAATTAATCTTATTGGGAGGTAATAAACTGGACCGAGGAAGAAAAATCACCATACCCACTTTATATACCAGATTGGATACAATTCAATCATATTATTTCACTAAAAATATTTGTTACCAATAAATTGAGGAATACAAGTCTACTCATTCTTCCAAGCATACAGAACCAATGAAAAACCAAGACCTGATAATTTAGACTCAGTGAAACTCTGTGGACAAGACCAAGGCGACGTATAGGAATCAGAGAATGTTTGGCTTGTCCACAACTTCTCAGCTGAGAAACAAGTTTGGAACATGAAAACTGCACTACCCAAAGTTGTACCATGCAACCAATTGTGGACATCCCAGAAGACTTCTACCGGAAGGCCATCAACCAAAATGGTGTCATTTCCGCGAAACTTCCATCGCAGGCGCCTCACCTGCATCACCATCTTACTGTCTAAATGAATCACAAGGCATGGATCAGCATCCGCAACCGTATCGCACAAAATTGTGAGGTCATGAAGCTGCCCTTTATTGCAGAATTGAGCCTTGGTACCATACACCCTCTTCCCAAAAAGGTGCTCCCTCTTGGAGATGAAAATTGCATTGGACAGAGCAGGGGTAGCATTGGTCTTCTTGAATGCCTCTTTCCTCAGATCCCCAATGAGGAGAACCATCTCACCCTTACACACCACTGCGAAGTAAAAACCTTCCAAAGGCTCCGGCCCAGATCCGAATTTCGCCAAAGAGAGGTCCCAATAGAAGTCAATTTTGCTACTACGATTTAGCTCTAAACACTTGGACCCTTTTCTCTTTGAGAAAAGAGAAGGCTTGACATCAACTTTACAGAGACAGAAACTTGCCAAATCATGGATTTCAAAACTAAGGCACTGACCCATCAAATTCTTGCTCCATGTGATGGTGACGAAGCAAGATTGACCTAGCAATTTACACCTATATATGCTTGTAACCACATTTTGAGAGGCTTTACTCACATTTGTGTTTGAACACAAAGTGTCAGCAACTTCAACTCCATTTTCACCAAAACAAGATGGGAAGTCCCTCATTTTGGTACTTGAAAATGAAAACCCAAGATCTGTTCAATCTTTAATTGGTGTTTGGGTTGAACACTTCCAAGGCATTGATGAAACCAGAAACAACAATAAATGGAAGAGGGCAATTAGTGAAACGTACCAGAATGAATCAATGAGAGAGTAAACCAGAGACCCTTTCGAGAATTGCTGTGAAATTAATCTGGTCTTCTGCTCTCTCGTTCAAGGTTTGGTATGGTATGAGATGGGTTTTTGTGAAGTTGATTGTGTTTGTGTTTGGTTAAATGGAGAGCCTCGTCTTATTAAAGTCCCAGGAATCTACACTGTTAAGGAAAGGACAAGTGATGCATTAAATTAGGGTCAAATTTTCCCCGAAAATAGTGGCAGTTAAAAGTTTAAGTGAGAGAATACAAGCAACGTATACGGTTAGAATCTTTTGTCCTTTTATTCTTCTTTCTTTTTCAATGTGATATTTTAAATAAATAAAAAATAAAAAAAACTAAAATAAAATAAAATAAAAAATGGAGAAGAGAGGGGCCATGATGAGAAACATGCACTGTACTGAGATTCACCTCTCTTTTTTTAAGATTTATTTTTTAAAATATTGATTTATATTATACTAGTCATGAAGAATGAATTTTTTGAGAATTTTTTAAAACTATTTATATATAGGTCCGGGTTTTTTTTTTTATATTTTATGTATTATTTTTTAAATTAATATGCTGTCAACCCAACTTTAATCTAATTTTTCTAAGTTGGACTTAATTCGCATTCAAATCGACGGACAATTAGATCTCAAATATATAATATTCTTTTTTTAATGTCCCTTTCATAAATATAAAATGACGTGATTAATTAGACCCCAAATTATATATGGTGTAACTATTATTCCCAAATTTGACGACTCAATAATAAACATATGACAAGTTCTTGAAAGAATTTCGGAAAAAATTTCTCTAATTTATAGTTTTTTCCCAAAAAAAGCATGTGAACCCAACAATAAAATATATACGGAGTATTTATAGTTGTATGATTTATCATATAACTGACTTCCAATTTTAATAAATCAAACAAAGGAAACCCTATATGCCTTTAAATTTAGATTTTAGTGACTAAATTGGCAAATTGTTAAGAAAAAGTAAATACTCACCAAAATTAATATTTAAATACTATTAAGTTACCATTTAATACTTTATATGTAAACATCCTTTTTATAATAAATTATTTTATAATTGGACAAGGGGTTGGTATTTAAAACCCCACCGGCCAATTGATTTTGTAGTTCTTTTATTTCTGACATATATATATATATATATATATATATATATATATATATATATAGACACACACACACACATATATATATATATGTATTTATTTTTTTTATTACTTTAGTAATAATTTATACGGTAAATTGTACTGACACCTCCCCAAATTCGAGTTAAAGACGTCATTTACAACTTAAACACTTTTTTGGATAATTACACCCCCAAACCATGATAAAAGTACATACTTGCTATTTGACTTTTGAATTGATTCATGTAAATCACTAAAATTACCTTTATAACCTCTTATTAACCGACCAAAATGACACTCTAGAATGAAAAAAATAAATAAAACCATCATTTCAATAAGGGAATTACTAGAATTTTAGAAAAAATCTAAGTGTTCAATATATATATATACATAAATATTTAAAATAAGTAAATAATTTCAATGGAGTGGACGCCCTCACTTGGTCCCGTATACAGGGGCGGAGTCACGATTTCAATTTAGGGGGCATAGTGCCAAAAAAATAATAATAAATAAAATAATGAATTTTAAGAAGTAAAAGGAAAAAGAAGAAGAAAAATGACATAATTTTGAAAGGAAAAGAAGAGCGTGATTGAAGAAGGGAAATTTTACTTTTATAAGGAAATTAAAGGAATTTAAAGAGAGAAATAGGGGAAAACCGATAAAATTATGAGATAACTTTACAAATTTTCCTATATATGTACAAAAATAAAAAATAAAAAAATTAACATATATACTATACTATGGTGGACAGGCCACGGAGGGAGCATCCTCGGGCACACACTTGCTCCGCCCTAATTAACTTTAACTCTTTTATCCATAATAAAAGTAATTAATGATGGCTTTTATGAAAAGTGTGGAGGCCCTCACTTGGTTGGAGATATTAAAAGTGTCATAATAAAATGATGGTTTTAATTTGTTTTTTATTTTTATTTTTGAGGGTTATTTTGGTCAATTAATAGGAGGTTATGAAGGTAATTTAATAATTCATATGAGTTAATTCGAAAGTCAAAGGGTAAATATTTACTTTTATCATAGTTGGAGTAACTTTGTTCAGTTTACCAAACCTAAAAAGTGTCATTATTCAAAAAGTACTTTAAGTCGTAGATGGTTGCTTTAACCCAATTTATGAGGTGTCAGTAGAATTTATTCAAATTTTTTTGCGAAAGTCTTATATGTATAATAAGAAAGTCAAATTACTATTTAGATGGATTAAACAAAAATAATAATAATAAAAACTCCAAAGTCAAAGTAGTGTTTAGAATTCATTGAATCAAATTTATCAAGGAAATGATCTTTTAAGCGACTCTGGATTCGGCAAATAAAAAAAATGACATTATGTGAATCCCCGGCCCGTAATACATTCACCTTTAAACCCCAAATTTGATGGGAAACTTTATGCAATTTTTTTTTTTTTTTTTTTTGGTTGGTAAAGCAAACACACATACTTTTTTTATTCAGGCGGGGCTCGAATTTTTTCCCTCTTTTTTGAAGATGGAAAAGTTATATCATTGGGCCAAAGACCTTTTGATAACTTGATGCATTTTATTAGTAGTATTTTGCTCACTTTTTATTTATTTGTCAATGTCTTCTTTTCCTTCCAACCTTTAAAAAGTTGCGGAGAGGGACCAAACATGTAAAAAAAAAAAAAAAAAAAAAAAAGGGAGGTGAAAGCATCGATTTAGGGAAATGGTCATAGAGTAGAAAAAGGTGAAAGCGTCAATTGAAGTGGTTTTAAATTTAATAGGTTGGTGATTGAGCCTAATTTGGCCTTGGGCAAGAAAATTATTAACCCAACAAATTGCAATGACAAATAGGTTTAGAATAAACAATATATTTTTGGTCAGTCACAACTCACGATTAAAAAATGTCTGTTTTATTCAAAATTTTATTTACTTGTGATTTGGCCGAGATCATCTAACAATCTATCCGGAGCAGAGCCATGTTTAGCTTCTTCTTTGTGTTTTTTCTTTTTAATTGTTAGGATCCCAACAGATTCAGTTTTGAAGAGTGGAAGAAAAGAAAAGACAAGGAAGACTCACTCAAAGGAGGGTCAGGTTTTCCCTCTATCCTAATTGAATCTATGTAATATCGCAATGCTACCACAAACCCAGAGCTCTTAAACGGACGATACAGCCCTAACGCAGCTACGTGCTGCTAGACTACCTAAAGTAGTCCCATTGACACCGACTGGTTCACTCTTGCTTTTCTTGAATTTGTGTACGCTTACCTAACACTCGCACAAGCATATCAATAAGAGTCATTAATGTGACTAAGATGTGAGTAGATAAGGCATTTTTTGCAAACATTTTCTAAGGAACCGTGAGAGCCCTTTAAACTGTAAGTCCCAACTACGAGCCTTTCGACCAGAGCAGGTCAGAGTGGCAAATCCTCTGCACGCACTTGAAAGCATAATGAATTAAGAACTTCAGGCTTGAGCTCAAAATGTGAGTTTAGACTAGTCAAAGAATCCCCGGGGATGAAGAATCCAATTCGATGCGGAGATACAATAAAGACCCACCCGCAACGGGAATTTATACGGCGACTTCCGCATAGTAGAAGACAGATAAGTAGTGCAGAGAAGCCAGAGATGGCTCTTGAGGCGATGGAGAGTTTGGGTAGTGTCTCTCTATGTGGTGTAACGGGACTATGGCCGTTCCTACACGCCAAATTGATGTAGTGAATGTGCGGTTCAAGAAAAGTCATTTAGGTCAAGTTTAAATTTATAAAAACCACTACCAACACTACTACTAACGTAGCAAAAGTGAGTAGGAGTCGTCCCAAGGGATTATGAGGATCGAGCAATGTCGTGGAATCACAATTAGGGTTAGTAGGTCGAATGATCAAACAATTGGTTGGTTGATTGATTAAAGAACAACTAAATTAAACTAAGTGATAGCAAAAGAATGCAATTAAAAGTAAGTAGAGAGAGAGAGATCTTGGGGTTTAGAGATCACCACCAAGCAATGCATTTCTATATCATTGACAAGTGATTAATGAGGGCAAATGATGTGTTGCAATATTGGTGTGTGTGTGTTTGGTTGATTCAACAAGCAAGGATGACTAGTTAAGTATGTATTGTCTAAACATCATGTGAAAGGCACAATATATCTAAGCAATGAATCATATATTGTCTAAACAACATGTGAAAGGCACAATAAATCAAAACAAGTTATTAATCCTTTCATTAAGCTCACAATCCAAATACAACACAAGGATAGAGACATATGCTACTTGCATTCAAAAGCTTGGATCATCAAACAACAAGTATAGATTGTTTTCCCATTTAACAATACACTACAACTACACTATATTTACACTACTAGCATGAAAATAAATTAGGGGAGAGGCACAATCCATCAAGGTATAAGCATGAACCATCAAGAGAATCACAAAAGCATTCATTTAAGCACTATGTTTTGACAATCTCCAAATCTATAGCATCAATACACATAGACATGCATCAATAACACAAAATCTAGAGACAAGCACATGAACATCTATTCTAGCATACATAGACATATAGATAGAATGAAATGACTAATTGGAAGTATTAAACCACATAAATCATTGAATAAACAAGATCTATATATATCAAAGTATCAAAACATCAATTACAACATTAATCCCTCAATAATACACAAGATTAAGATATAGAAAGCATGTTTGTGGGTAACTCTAGCCCCAAGAGGATGTCTAGCCACTCATGGTGATGATGCTCCAACCCTCAAGGGCTAATTCCATGGTTGAAATCTGCTCCTTGTTGATGAAGTACTCCAATGGTGTCTCTAGTCTCCTCCTCCTCTAAGCTTGCTCTCCAAAAGATGATAAAATAATGTTGGCTCCTTTGTAAAAAGCAATCCTTATCCTTATTTAGGTAGGTCAAAATGACACCCAAAATGATCGTGCACACAATATTCCCTAATGATTGGATAAAGGACAACTTTCAATGAGATGGAATTTTAACTTTTTCGCACTAGAGGAAGTTCGATCGATCGAACCTTGAACTTGGA